GGAGGTATACGCCGTATCAATTCATAAATCTGATTAGAATGTTGATAAACTATTATTTCTTCACATTTTAAGCGCAGCAATGTGCACGCGGCAGTAGGCCTACACGCGAATGTTCCAAAATGCAGTTCGCAGGAAAACACAGTTCTAAAATGCGCACTGCAGATGCGATCGGTTTCAGGGACAGAGATGGAAATCTCCTTTAGAAGAAAAAAAAATAAGAGGGGAAACAACTATCATGAGTTTCTAATATGACTAGGATAATGCTTTCGGCTGCTAGATAATGGAAGAAAATTGATTTAAAAACCACTAAACAGGAGAGTGCCTATGAGGAAGTGTTTATAAAATATTTCCCTCAACATTTATGGTCGGTTTTTGGCTTGGCTACTTTGAAGCAAGATAAGATATTCCTCATAATATGAAGTAAAACGTCCAGGTTTCAAACAATTAAGGAACAGGAAAAATATAACAATGCTAATGATAGGCCTAACTGTCTTCTGGTAGCCTAGATTGAAAGGCTTTCCCAAAAATCTTCTCAAATAAATGTTAACTAGCTACAAAGTTGCCTACCTAGTGTAATGAATACTCATGGAGAAAAAGGTGTAGATTCACGTGCAGAGCACGGCAGGTGTTTATTTCACCTTCGCAGAAGGCAGGAATCGTGGTCACAGGCAGGCAAACAGGCAGTGAATCAAAACAACGACTGAAGGCTATAACTGGTTCTCACAAACGAGCTAGGAAAAGGCTTAGTAGAGACAAAACGAACAATACCTCACAAGGCACAAACAGAAAGAACTGAACTAAATAAGGAGCTGATGAGACCAGGTGAGTAACTAACACAGGTGAAATCATTGAACAAAAATGAAAGACAGGAACACACGTCCAAGAACACAAAGAAACAGGACTACATTCAAGAACAAAGAAACAGGGCTACGTTCAAGAACTAAGAAAATTAATACAGAACCTTACACCTAGCAGAATTATATCATGATTATTTGCATCAATCCTGTGGGCATTTGTTTTGCAAACTCCATCTCATGTACGATACAGAAACACTGCTAACCAAACAATAGTGCTAGTGCCTGTGGACTTGAATTAAAGTGTAACTACACTCAAAAATAATAGCACATTTTAGATTTTTCCCAGACCTCAAAAGGGGTCTCCTGATGTGGTTTAAGCATTGTTGTGGACTTAGAACATCCAATTTGGTTGTTTTTCTATTTAAAAAAGTGTGACTTTGAGTGCAAAAACCTGGAAAATAATGACAAAATCTGAAACCTGTGAATTTCTGACTCGGTTGACAAGCTCATTTATCTAGTTCAATAGTAGGCCTACCATTAACCTACTTGCACAGTACAGCTTGGGTTGGCCTGACTGTGGAAGACCAATATGGGATTCATCATTTTAGGTCATTCATGGTACGTCACTGTTTCTCATATCATTTTTCATACAGGGCACCATTTTTTGACCGGTAGAACGGGCTGTTTGGGAAACAGTTAGAACAATTTGAGTATACCCAATTTTCCAGGCACCACTACACCGTTCGTGTGTGCGCATGTGCATGTGTGAAAGATTATAGCCCAGAACCAGTCGTACAATTTGAACCCAGGTCTGGTAGAAACCCTACAACATGACTGCAGGACAGCCAATGACAGATGTGTCATAGCCTAGTAACCTGGTTGTGTGGCACATTACGGGTTATATCATAAGCCATGAGGATTCTGTTCTGTGGCAAGCTGTCAAATGTTACCTTCACAGGACATCTGAATATCCTAAAAGTTTGTGTGAGGTCCTCTGACCGTGGACCAGAGTTTACAGAGACCCATTACCATGTGACTCAGATCCAGATTATTTCCCTGCATACTGCAAATATGTTAATATAAAGAGGGAAATAAAATATATTTACATTGGAATATGTTTTCAAGTCAAAAATAGAAGCGTATAGCATCCTCATTTCATTCTAGTCATGGAAAGAGGGATGGATGAAACCACATAGCTTGTTATTACACAATTGTTGGATGATACTGACACCGATGCCAACAGTTGGGCATTTTATCAAACCCTGAAAAGTCAATAAAATCAATTGAAGAAATGCATTTATAAGCAGAGCACTTGAGAAAGGAGAGACAGCAGACAAATGCACTAGGCTTCATTTAATAATTTATTAAATGCAGCATAATACACTTCATATTGATACATGTGCCTATCTTATTGCTGCGATTGTAAATATAATGTATTTTTCTATATATAAAATGAAATATAATATAACATACACTACCGGTCAAAAATGTTAGAACACTTACTCATTCAAGGGTTTTTCTTGATTTTTTACTATTTTCTACATTGAAGAATAATAGTGAAGATATCAAAACTATGAAATAACACATGTGGAATCATGTAGTAACCAAAAAAGTGTTAAACAAATTAGAATATATTTTATATTTGAGATTCTTCAAAGTAGCCACCCTTTGCCTTGATGACAGCTTTGCACAGTCTTGGCATTCTCTCAACCAGCTTCATGAGGTGGTCACCTGGAATGCATTTCGATTAACAGGTGTGCCTTCTTAAAAGTTAATATGTGGAATTTCTTTCCTTCTTAATGCGTTTGAGCCAATCAGTTGTGTTGTGACAAGGTAGGGTGGTATACAGAAGATAGCCCTATTTGGTAAAAGACCAAGTCCATATTATGGCATGAACAGCTCAAATAAGCAAAGAGAAATGACAGTCCATGATTACTTTAAGACATGAAGGCCAGTCAATACGGAAAATGTCAAGAACTTTGAAAGTTTCTTCAACTGCAGTCGCAAAAACCATCAAGCGCTATGATGAAACTGGCTCTCATGAGGACCGCCACAGGAAAGGAAGACCCAGAGTTACCTCTGCTGCAGAGGATAAATTCATTAGAGTTAACTGCACCTCAGATTGCAGCCCAAATAAATGTTCAAGTAACAGACCCATCTCAACCTCAACTGTTCAGAGGAGACTGTGTGAATCAGGCCTTCATGGTCGAATTGCTGCAAAGAAACCACTACTAAAGGACACCAATAATAAGAAGAGACTTGCTTGGGCCAAGAAACACGAGCAATTAGACCGGTGGAAATCTGTCCAAATTTTAGATTTTTGGTTCCAACCGCCGTGTCTTTGTGAGACGCAGAGTAGGTGAACGGATAATCTACGCATGTGTGGTTCCCACCGTGAATCATGGAGGAGGAGGTGTGATGGTGTGGGGGTGCTTTGCTGGTGACACTGTCTGTGATTTATTTAGAATTCAAGGCTCACTTAACCAGCATGGCAACCACAACATTCTGCAGCGATATGCCATCCCATCTGGTTTGCGCTTAGTTGGACTATCATTTGTATTTCAACAGGACAATGACCCAACACACCTCCAGGCTGTGTAAGGGCTATTTGACCAAGAAGGAGAGTGATGGAGTGCTGCATCAGATGACCTGGCCTCCACAATCACCCAACCGCAACCCAATTGAGACGGTTTGGGATGAGTTGGACCGCAGAGTGAAGGAAAAGCAGCCAACAAGTGCTCAGCATATGTGGGAACTCCTTCAAGACTGTTAGAAAAGCATTCCAGGTGAAGCTGGTTGAGAGAATGCCAAGAGTGTGCAAAGCTGTCATCAAGGCAAAGGGTGGCTACTTGGATAGAATCTCAAATATATTTTGATTTCTTTAACACTTTTTTGGTTACTACATGATTCCATATGTGTTATTCCATAGTTTTTATGTCTTTACTATTATTCTACAATGTAGAAAATAGTAAAAACAAAGAAAAACCCTTGAATGAGTAGGTGTGTCCAAACTTTTGACTGGTACTGTATATATAATAACAAACAAAACATGTCCTTTGTGTTGGTATTAGTTGCAAGGTTCAGAACATGATGACGTCATAATGATGAGACACATGCTACTTAATGGCCACAGGGCAGAATAAAGAAACATACAAATTCCACAGGAATAAAGTCATAGGTGCATATGAAATGAGACCCTATTCCCTACATTACTTTTGGGCAGGGTCCATGAGGTTCTGGCCAAAGGTAGTGCACTATATATGGAATAGGGTGCCATTTTGTACACAGACAATGTCTGAAGCAGTGCATTGGTGACAGTCCGGTTGCCAGAACTGGTGGAAATCTTGCTAACTCCTTTATGGTAAACAACTGCTTTATCATTGTTTGCTGAAGCAGAACCAAACTGGCAACCTAGCTGCATTGATGATAGCCTAGCTGCTAGATCTAGTGTAACTTTTGCTAACTCCTTTATGGTAAACAACACCTTTATCATTGTTTGCTAATGCAGAACCAAACTGGCAACCCAGCTGCATTGATGATAGCCTAGTTGCCAGATTTGGTGCTACTTTTGCTAACTCCTTTATGGTAAACAACTCCTTTATCATTGTTTTCTGACGCAGAACCAAACTGGCAACCCAGCTGCATTGATGATATATGCATCAGGTTGATATGCTCAGCAAATACCCTACAAGTACGGTAAAATACCGTAATACTGGCCCATAAAGTAACTAAGACTTAGCTGTGTCCTCAACATCAGGACAAACAATAACATCCATGTGGTATTTGCATATTAATTCATTAGGCCTTTTGGGTATACTTATTTACATATTAAAAACTATTGAAATCAAGTGCGTTTGCAGGAAGGAATTAGAGGCATGGGTTGTTCAAACTAAAATAGTTCAATTTCACATTCCTTATAATTAATAATGAGTTCTCTCCATAACATTACATTGTTAGAGCTATTTGGTGTGCGTACAGGTAGAATGTGTGAATGAAAGTACATGCAGAACAATTCAAGAGAACATAAATACTGTGATCTGTGATCTGTTACGGTAAATTAAAGGTGTCATCTCGGAACCCAGAACTAAATCTCACGCTACTATAGCAGCTAGCTGTCTGTCACGAGAGATTAGGTTAGGTCTTTTTTTGTTGTTGAAAGGACTAAACGATTTTTAACATAAACCATTCACATTCATAACAAACCTTTGACAGACAGACAGACAGACAGATACTATGTAAAAAAAAAAAATCCCTGAGGACTAAAATCCTATTGATACAAGAGTTGTTGTTGAGAACACTGACGGATGGAGAGAGACAGCTGAAATTATTCATATTCGAACATACTAATGTACTAATGTGAACATACTCATCTTTTTCGAATAAGCATGATATGAATTCATGGCTACATACATTGAATTAATGAACTTTTGAAGGAATACATGAGTGGACGGACGAATGTTGTGTTGCGACAGGATGTGCCCTTCAAAATAAAAAAAGTTTTTTTTGCTTGTAGTGGGTGGGGGGGGGGGGGGTTGGGTACAAGGACTGTGGGGAGGAGGAAAGAAATTTACATTTTAGTTATTTAGCAGACGCTCTTATCCAGAGCGAATTACAGTTATTGAGTGCATACATATATTTTTTTTCATACTGGTCCCCCGTGGGAATCGAACCCACAACCCTGGCGTTGCAAGCGCCATGCTCTACCAACTGAGCTACACGGGACTAATGAAATGAAAGAAATAGAGAGGGAGAAAAGGAAGGTGGGAGAGAAGGAGAAAGGGAAGAACTGGTCCTACTAGCTGGATAGGTCATTGAGGTCGCCGCCCTGTTCTATGACGGCCTTGGCAAACTGCTTAAACACGCGGTCCATGTAGGTGCTCTGTCGGGGCCACAGTCCCTCCAGGAAACCAATATGGCCGCCGTGGCAGGTGATGAGGAGGGCTAGGTTAGGGTTCTGCTTCACCGCCTCCACTGGAATAGCTGAGGAGGAGAGGAGACGAAACACTTCTTAATAATCTATCAGTCAAGCAGTGGACACATACACCAAGCACTAGATTGGAGATTTTACTTCCAAAACCCCACAGAAATACTGTATGAACGTACGTACACCGTGTAGTGTAAATCGTATATGTCTTACACACTGATTAGGGCATTACAATAGATTTTTTTGTATTTTACCAGGAAAGACATATTGAGACCAAGGTCTCTTTTTCAAATGTGCCCTGCACAATACAACACAAATATACACCTTATACACTAAATATACATATATACAGTACCAGTCAAAAGTTTGGACACACCTACTCCTTCCAGGGTTTTTCTTTATTTTTACTATTTTTTTACATTGTAGAATAATAGTGAAGACATCTAAACTATGAAATAACACATAAGGAATCATGTAGTAACCAAAAAAGTAACCACACATTAAAATACAAAAACACAGTCATGGGAAGCACAAGTAAAACATCACAAATCACCCAGAAAAACAGTTACATTCCTCCACAAATAAGTCCCCAATCAATACTCTAAACTGCCCGAACGGCACCAGAACATTATGATTAAATGTATTTTGAATTTTGTTCCAGCAATACGGTGCTTTAAGACTAAAAGCAGATTTTCCTAGCTCAGTGTAGACCGTAGGAACCTCAAGAGTTAACCAATCCTGTGAACAGATTAGGCAGCTCAGGTGTCTATACTTCAACAGCAAAGTTAGATAAGATGGAAGTTTATGAAGTAGAGGCAATAATGTAGAGATCTACCTCACTTTATCCCTACCTACATGTACATATTACCTCAATTACCTGGACTAACCTGTACCCCTACACATTGACTCGGTACCGGTACCCCCTGTATATAGCCTCGTTATTGTTATTTTCTTGTTAAACTTTTGTTTATTCAGTAAAACGGAATTGTTGGTTAAGGGCTTGCAAGTAAGCATTTCACGGTAAGGTCTACACCTGTTGTATTCGGCTCGGTTGTAAGTCCAGCCAACCTTTTGATACAGGATGCAGTGATGAGTATCAAAACTGTATCAAAACTGTTACCTATAACAAAACGAAGGGCACTATGCTAGATGGCATCCAAAAGTTTAAGAGTAGTAGCAGCTGCACTTTGATAAATAATATCACCATAATCAAGAACAGATAAAAAGGTTGACTGAATAATCTGCTTCCTACTGCTTAGAGAAAGGCACGGTCTGTTTCTGTAGAAAAAGCCAACTTTAAATCTTAGTTTCTTAACCAGCTCATCTATGTTTTTTAAATGTCAAATCCATATAAATCCAAATGCCTAAGTATTTATATGCGGGAACACGTTCAATTGGAGAACCATCTAATGAGTGAACATCTGAAACATTCTTCAGAAAGTTTAAAAACAACATGTATTTTGTTTTGCCCATATTAAGCACACGTTTTAAATCAGCAAGGGATAAAATCTGACTGTAGTTTTGACACAGCCAGATCAACAGTTGGGGCAATAGCATACATAATAGAATCATCCGCATATACTGTAGATGAAGTTTTAACAGACTGACCAATGGTGTTTATATAAATAGTGAAGAGAACAGGTCTCAAAATCGACCCCTGTGGTACACATTTATGCACTTCAAGAAATTCAAACTTAACCCCATCAATCACAATGACCTGAGTTCAGTCACTAAGATAATCATGAAACCATGAACAGGCATCAGAGCTCTGACGTATCGAGGACAACTTATTCAATAAAATAGCATGATCAACAGTATAATAATAATAATAATAATAACAAATATAACAAGTATCAAAAGCTTTTGACAGGTCCACAAACAAAGCAGCACATTTCATTTTAGTGTCTAAAGTTTTGACAAGATCATTGACAACTAAAGTGGTTGCTGTAATAGTGCTATGCCCATGCCTAAACCCTGATTGGTTTACATAAAAAATACATTTCTCAGTTAAAAAGAGCAAAGTTGTACATTTACCAAGGACTCAAGAATCTTAGCTAGACAAGGAAGCCTTGAAATGGGGCAATAACTATTAAGATCACTACTATCCCCGCCCTTATGGAGTGGCAGCACAAGACCTGATTTCCATTATTTTGGAATATTTCCTGATAACAATGTTAAATACAAAATGTAGGTTATTGAGCCAGCAATGATGGGCGCTGCACACTTAAGGATCCAATTGGTCGGCCCCTGTGGATTTCTTGTTGTCTATTGCTACAAAGCATCCAGGACTTATTTTTCTGTAAATAGCCTAAAGGAAAAGCTTTGACTATAATTTCTCTCATCATTCAGCAAGTTTCCACTATCATTATCCAGCCCAATATCATTGTGAATAGGCTTAGAAGTTATTTCAAAGAGATAGACCGCTGAAATAAAATGGTGATTAAATGCATCAATGATGCCATTTTTTCCTGTAATGAGGCCAGTATCTGAATTAATTTGTTGTGGCAGAGAAGAGGAAGTAGAACCCTTCAGGGATTTGACCGTTTTCCAGAATTTTGCAGAGTTCCCATTACAATCCGAAAGAGCAGTTACATAATAATCAGATTTAGCCTTTCTGATTTGTCTTACACAATGATTCCTCAGTTGCTTAAAAGCTTGCTAGTCCGGGCCTAAGTGTTCCTGGCCTTGACCCAAGCATCATCTCTTTTATGAATTACTTCTGATACTTCTTCTGATTCTGATTCCGGATTGTACCAGGCATTCGACTAAAATTTAACCCTTTTGGTTGTTTATTTTGATTCCCCAAATTTTTAGAAGACACCTTTTAAAAAGTCTGGGCCCAAATTGTTTTTCGGGGAAAAGGTACACAAACGCACCAAAACCCCGTGCCCGTTCATTTGGTTTTGAGCCCGTGATTCACGAGGCAGATTGGTGGTTCTCTACAAAAACAAATCAAACCCACCCTTTTTTGGGGGAAACCCAGTAAACTATTCCTGGGACTTAGGAAAAGGGTCAACAAAGTTTAACAAGGACTCTTTTCCCTTTCCCCTTTACAAGGTTGGGGGTGAGGCTTGTCAAGGGGGGGTTGGGTAAGGAAACATACACCTAAGTGGAATTTAATTTTCCCAACCCCGTTATTTAGTCCCCAGTAATACTTCCCATTTAGTTTAAAGGTCAACCCTAGGTTAACCTTGGAACACATGAGGCTTGAGCCCTTTTAACCCTGAGGGGCACCCCCCGTGGGGGGATTTAACCCCTATGCCCGGGGGGGCATTTAACCCTGCCTTCCCCTTTCATTCCCAACTGGGCCTTTAGTTAAACCAAAAAGGCGCAACGTTGGGCTATGTAACAATGGCTCATTCTATGAACCAACTGGGCCACTTTTTTTTTCCCCCATTACCAAAATAAGGGCCCCGTGGTGGCGAGCCAACCTTACGGTTTTTATACTTTCCCTCTAAGAACTTCCCTTTCCAATCTTTTAACCCTGGGACTGCCACCAACTTTCCCCCTTTTTTATGGCCTGGATCTGGTGTCCCCTCTTGGGGGTGGCCTCTTAAAACCCCTGGGGAACCTCATTCAACTCACGGAGTAAGACACAGGACACATATCTTTCATTGGCCTGTATTCCGTTAGCCAATCAAGACCAGTACTTGATAGAAGAGCCCTTATCTATCACAATGAAGTCTTAACAAATAGAGTGGGCCAGGTTTGTAGCGGCTTAGTCACCACTGGAGGGCGGTGGTGGATCATTACACGTCTTATAGATGTAATTTTAGATTGCATTTCCCAATCATAATTTAGGTCACCCAAGATAATAACTTCTGATTTAGTAAAAGAAGTCAACAAACTAGTTAACTCCTATGTAACCAACATGGAGGGCCGGTGGTGAGCTATGTAACCAACATGGAGGGCCAGTGGTGGGCTATGTAACCAACATGGAGGGCCAGTGGTGGGCTATGTAACCAACATGGAGGGCCAGTGGTGGGCTATGTAACCAACATGGAGGGCCGGTGGTGGGCTATGTAACCAACATGGAGGGCCAGTGGTGGGCTATGTAACCAACATGGAGGGCCAGTGGTGGGCTATGTAACCAACATGGAGGGCCGGTGGTGGGCTATGTAACCAAAATGGAGGGCCGGTGGTGGGCTATGTAACCAACATGGAGGGCCGGTGGTGTGGTGTGATTGTGGACTCACCATGACTGGGAGAGAAGACGTCATCTGCAGCGTTTAGACACAACATGGGAACCTGCACAGACTTGAGCCTGTGGATGGGACTGGCATCATGGTAGTAGTCATCGTTGGTGGGGTAGCCAAACATTATAGACGTGAACCTCTCATCAAACTCACGGAGGGTCTTGGCCTGCAGGGGGGTTGGGATAAAGTCGAATTATAAGGTGACATTCGGCAACAATATGCTTTCAACAATGTTGGCAGCAGCCCAAGAGGGCCATAAGGACCTGACTAGAAATTCCACTAAATGAGTTCCTTTTGCATCCCTTTGATATTTTAATTAGAAATTGTGCACCAATATGGAATTTTAAAAGCCTGTTATATTAAATGAAGTGGTCTTTAATATAGATCAAATGGAGAATTCAATAAATCTTGATTTTTTATATTAATAAAGGCTTGCCAAAGTGCTAAGATTCAGCATTTCACCATCATTGTAAAGCCTTAGTTATTTTGATGCTTTGACAAAGTAATTTCTGAAGATTATAATTTATTTCATGTGATTAGCGATTCATTTACGTCTGTCCCTCATTTTAAGGTCAACCCTGTTACGTGAACTGAACTCTCATTTTAATATGGTAAAACTATTTATCTTTAAATATTTGTTCAAAAGAAACATTGAACTTCTAATAGTCAAATCATAATGTAAAAGCAGGTGAGCTGGTTCTACTCTTTTTGGCCATTTTCTTGTGTTTTGTGGTGGAAAACTGAGCGGTTCGAGCATAACACATCAACCCTGTTATTTTTAAAACATTTTAGTCATTTAGCAGGCGCTCTTAACCAGCGGGACTTTTCAGTTAGTGCATTCATATTAAGATAGCTAGGTGGAACAACCACATATCACAGTCATAGTAAGTATTTTTTTGTGAAGCTTGCATTCAATTGCCACTCCCTGTTGCACACAACAAGCTTCCATTTCCCCTGTCACGAGGGGATTTACGGCTGATTTAAGATGAAATTGTCAACCGTTATGGTCAACCCTGTTACGGTCAACCCTGTTACAGTCAACCCTATTACTTTATTTGGCTCTTATTAGGCACTTACTATAGTATTTTTTTTTTGATGGGAAATGTGTTTTTTATTAAGCTGAACATGCGCTCTTTGTGACAGAATGTAAAAATTAGGTATAAAATTAGAAGTTACACTTCTCAAAAGGCACCAAATTGGTGGAACGACCCAGATGGGTTGCTTTTACTTTGATTTTACTTAGAGGAGGTCATTAAAAAAGTTGTGCATTTTACCTTCATCACATGATCAATGTCGTAATTCTTCTCAAGCACAGATTTGTGTCTAGAGGAGAGAAAAACACGAGGAAGCAGGAAGTAGGTTTGCTTCAATGGGAACTTGGGGAAGTAGGTTTGCAACAATGGGGAACATAGGGAAGCATGTGGGTTTGCTTCAATATATCCAATGGAAATGTTAATGAAATGATTGGGGTCTGACAGTAGAGTACCGAGTGCTTAGCACTGTGACAACTGCTGATGTAAAAAGGGATTTATAAAATACATTTGATTGATTGAGATAGGAAAATATCCCAAGAGAGAGAGAGAGAGAGAGAGAGAGAGAGAGAAAGAGAAAGAGATATTAGCTGTTAGCCTTTAGAGCCCAACCTCAGGGGTCGCTAAAAGCTAACATCTAAAAGCTAAACAATGTAGCTCAGTGCAGCTAAGAGCTAAGATCTAAACTAGGCAAATCCCCCAGTAGCCCGTCCGGCCCCCTACGGCCCCCACCCACCTGTCCACACCCGCCTGCAGGCAGCTGGTGAGGTAGGAGTTGAAGAGAAAGCGGTCCAGAGGCTTCTCCAGCGACGCTGTGCACTCAAACACATCCCAGCCTGCCGAGAACACAACCACGCCTTTCAGACATGTTTCCCTGCCCATCCTCCCCAGGTAGTTCGCCAGCATCATCCTGGGATTAGAAAGACAGGGAGAGGGTAGGGGGAAAGGGGAGAGGACGGTGGAGGGGAGAGAGGGGAGAGAGGGGAGAGGGTTGGGGAGAAGGGAGAGGAGAGAGGGGAAACCCTCACTTAGGTAGGGGATTATAGCTGTAATACCTATTTTGACATGGTTTAAGTACTACTGAGAGGCTGAGCTCTCTGAATCAAATGAAAAGTGCTGTTTCTGACAGGGGAAAGGAGGAGGCTGCAAAATAAATAAAATACATAACCAACCCATGAAACCATTTCTGCTGGTGAGCGTTTACTTAATTTTTTTAGATATCAATACAAACCTATGGATGGGACAAACAAGTACTTTCCAGGCTCTACATAAAACGTAGTATCTTTAGACTGACTCCCACAGTTCAGTGAAGTGATACTATAGTGTAGTATTGCTCCATACATACATGTACAGTGCCTTCGGAAAGTATTCAGACCCCTTGAATTTTTCCACATTTTGTTACATTACAGCCTTATTCTAAAATGTATTAAATAAATAAAAATCCTGAGCAATCTAGACACAATACCCCATAATGACAAAGCGAAAACAGGTTTTGCAAATGTATTAAAAATAAAAAACAGAAATACCTTTTTTACATAATTATTCAGACCCTTTGCTATGAGACTCGAAATTGAGCTCAGGTGCATCTTGTTTCCATTGGTCATCCTTGAGATGTTTCTACAAATTGATTGGAGTTCACCTGTGGTAAATTCAATTGATTGGACATTATTTGGAAAGGAACACACCTGTCTATATAAGGTCCCACAGTTGACAGTGCATGTCAGAGCAAAAACCAAGCCATGAGGTCGAAGGAATTGTCCGTAGAGCTCCGAGACAGGATTGTGTTGAGGCACAGATCTGGGGAAGGGTACCAAAAAAGAACACAGTGGCCTCCATCATTCTTAAATGGAAGAAGTTTGGAACCACTTGGAGTTTGCCAAAAGGCACCTAAAGACTCTCAGATCATGAGAAACAAGATTATCTGGTCTGATGAAACCAAGATTGAACTCTTTGGCCTGAATGCCAAGCATCACGTCTGGAGGAAACCTGGCACCATCCCTACGGTGAAGCATGGTGGTGGCAGCATCATGCTGTGGGGCTGTTTTTCAGCGGCAGGGACTGGGAGACTAGTTAGGATCGAGGGAAAGATTAACAGAGCAAAGTACAGAGAGATCCTTAATGAAAACCTGCTCCAGAGTGCTCAGGATCTCAGACTGGGGCGAAGTTTCACCTTCCAACAGGACAACGACCCTAAGCACACAGCCAAGACAACGCAGGAGTGGCTTCGGGACAAGTCTCTGAATGTCCTTGAGTCAAAGACATGATCAGTCTATAATTTTAATGGTAGGTTTATTTGAACAGTGAGAGACAGAATAACAACAAAGAAATCCAGAAAAACGCATGTCAAAAATGTTATGAATTAATTTGCATTTTAATGAGGGAAATAAGTATTTGACCCCTCTGCAAAACATGACTTAGTACTTGGTGGCAAAACCCTTGTTGGCAATCACAGAGGTCAGACGTTTCTTGTAGTTAGCCACCAGGTTTGCACACATCTCAGGAGGGATTTTGTCCCACTCCTCTTTGCAGATCTTCTCCAAGTCATTAAGGTTTCGAGCCTGACGTTTGGCAACTCGAACCTTCAGCTCCCTCCACAGATTTTCTATGAGATTAAGGTCTGGAGACTGGCTAGACCACTCCTTGACCTTAATGTGCTTCTTCTTGAGCCACTCCTTTGTTGCCTTGGCCGTGTGTTTTGGGTCATTGTCATGCTGGAATACCCATCCACAACCCATTTTCAATGCCCTGGCTGAGGGAAGGAGGTTCTTACCCAAGAATTGACGGTACATGGTGCCGTCCATCGTCCCTTTGATGCGGTGAAGTTGTCCTGTCCCCTTAGCAGAAAAACACCCCCAAAGCATAATGTTTCCACCTCCATGTTTGACGGTGGGGATGGTGTTCTTGGGGTCATAGGCAGCATTCCTCCTCCTCCAAACATGGCGAGTTGAGTTGATGCCAAAGAGCTAAATTTTGGTTTAATCTGACCACAACACTTTCACCGAGTTCTCCTCTGAATCATTCAGATGTTCATTGGCAAACTTCAGACGGGCCTGTATATGTGCTTTTTTGAACAGGGGGACCTTGCGGGCGCTGCAGGATTTCAGTCCTTCACGGCGTAGTGTGTTACCAATTGTTTTCTTGGTGACTATGGTCCCAGCTGCCTTGAGATCATTGACAAGATCCTCCCGTGTAGTTCTGGGCTGATTCTTCACCATTCTCATGATCATTGCAACTCCACAAGGTGAGATCTTGCATGGAGCCCCAGGCCGATGAGGATTGACAGTTCTTTTGTGTTTCTTCCATTTGCGAATAATCGCACCAGCTGTTGTCACCTTCTCACCAAGCTGCTTGGCGATGGTCTTGTAGCCCATTCCAGCCTTGTGTAGGTCTACAATCTTGTCCCTGACATCCTTGGAGAGCTCTTTGGTCTTGGACATGGTGGAGAGTTTGGAATCTGATTGATTGATTGCTTCTGTGGACAGGTGTCTTTTATACAGGTAACAAGCTAAGATTAGGAGCACTCCCTTTAAGAGTGTGCTCCTAATCTCAGCTCGTTACCTGTATAAAAGACACCTGGGAGCCAGAAATCTTTCTGATTGAGAGGGGGTCAAATACTTATTTCCCTCATTAAAATGCAAATCAATATTTAACATTTTTGACATGCGTTTTTTCTGGATTTTTTTGTTGTTATTCTGTCTCTCACTGTTCAAATAAACCTACCATTAAAATTATAGACTGATCATTTCTTTGTCAGTGGGCAAACTTACAAAATCAGCAGGGGATCAAATACTTTTTTCCCTCACTGTATCAAAACTATTAAATAACCCATATGGAATCATGTAGTAACCAAAAAAGTGTTAAACAAATCAAAATATATTATACATTTGAGATTCTTCAAATAGCCACCCTTTGACTTGATGACAGCTTTGCACAGTCTTGGCATTCTTTCAACCAGCTTCATGAGGTAGTCACCTGGAATGCATTTCAATTAACAGGTGTGCTTTCTTAAAAGTTAATTTGTGGAATTTCTTTCCTTCTTAATGCGTTTGAGCCAATCAGTTGTGTTGTGACAAGGTAGGGGTGGTATACAGAAGATAGCCCTATTTGGTAAAAGACCAAGTCCATATTATGGCAAGAACAGCTCAAATAAGCAAAAAGAAACGACAGTCCATCATTACTTTAAGACATGAAGGTCAGTCAATATGGAACATTTCAAGAACTTTGAACGTTTCTTCAAGTGCACTGGCAAAAACCATTAAGCGCTATGATGAAACTGGCTCTCATGAGGACTGCCACAGGAATGGAAGTCCCAGAGTTTTTAGTAGATTAGCTTAATATTGCAGATAGATTGTAACTTCCATCAATGTAATTGTCTGCATCACTTCCAATCCCCCATGTTTTTTATATATATACTCCCCTTTATTACTTTTCAACCCTGCCATCCTTTCCCTACTTGGGGTAAATTAGTGAACAACAATGCTTAGGCCTCTACTTCCAGCTTATACTTACTGGAAGTCCCAGAGTTACCTCCGCTGCAGAGGATAAGTTCATTAGAGTTACCAGCCTCAGAAATTGCAGCCCAAATAAATGCTTCACAGAGTTCAAGTAACAGACACATCTCAACATCAACTGTTCAGAGGAGACTGTGTGAATCAGGCCTTCATGGTCGAATTTCTGCGAAGAAACCACTACTAAAGGACACCAATAAGAAGAAGAGACTTGCTTGGGCCAAGAAACACTAGACACCGATGGAAATTTGTCCTTTGGTCTGCAGTCCAAATTGAGGATTTTTGGTTCCAACCGCCGTGTCTTTGTGAGACGCGGTGTGGGTGAACGGATTATCTCCGTATGTTTATTTCCCACTGTAAAGCATGGAGGAGGAGGTGTTATGATGTGGGGGTGCTTTGCTGGTGACATTTTCTGTGATTTATTTAGAATTCAAGGCACACTTAACCAGCATGGCTACCACAGCATTCTGCAGCGATATGCCATCCCATCTGGTTTGGGCTTAGTGGGACTATCATTTGTTTTTCAACAGGACAATGATCCAACACACCTCCAGGCTGTGTAATGGCTATTTTACCAAGAAGGAGAGTGATGGAGTGCTGCATCAGATGACCTGGCCTCCACAATCCTCCGACCTCAACCAAATTGAGATGGTTTGGGATGAGTCGGACTGCAGAGTGAAGAAAAAGCAGCCAACAAGTGCTCAGCATATGTGGGGACTCCTTCAAGACTGTTGAAAAAGCATTCCAGGTGAAGCTTGTGCCAAGAGAGTGCAAAGCTGTCATCATGGCAAAGGGTGGCTATTTGAAGACTCTCAAATATAAAATATATTTTGATTTGTTTAACACTTTTTTGGTTACTACATGATTCCGTATGTGTTATTTCATAGTTTTGATGTCTTCACTATTATTCTATAATGTAGAAAATAGTAAAAATAAAGAAAAACCATTGCATGTGTAGGTGTTCTAAAACTTTTGACCGGTAGTGTATGTAAATGTGATATTTAAGTTTTTATTTTATCATAAATTAGCAAAGATTTATAAAAACCTGTTTTTGCTTTGTCATTATGGGGTATTGTGTGTAGATTGATCAAAAAAACAACAACATTTAATCAATTTTAGAATAAGTCTGTAACGTAACAAAATGTGGAAAAAGTCAAGGGGTCTGAATACTTTCTGAAGGCCCGTTGACATCAATACGGTAGCCTACATCAACACATGATTTATGCAGAAGTCTGAGTAATGCATGCAGCTCTCAGGATTTGGGCTATAGTCACTGTCCATTGAAGTGAGAAAGCATGAAGAGGCACCTACTAACCCTCCCATGGAGACCCCAGCAGCCATGAGAGGGGCGTCCTCATTTGTCCTCTGGATGTGTTCGATGACCGCCTCCAGGTCCTCTGTGTTGGCAGCACAGTATGTTCTGGGAGTCTGGTAGCACACAAAGATAAGAAGAGTTCACTCTGAGTGGTGTGTGTGTGTGTGTGTGTGTGTGTGTGTGTGTATGTGTGTGTGTGTACCATGTCCCTTTCGTGTTACAGCACAGTTTTTCTGTTGGTAGATTGACTTTCGACCGTACGGAGGAAAAAAAAAACACACACACACACACACACACACACACACACACACACAGGCATGCAAATATCACTGCGACCTCTGCATGTGCACACACTGTTCCGGGATCTATAGTCAGATGTGCGGAGAACTCATACTGTACATTAATTACATGCAAGCCTTCACACCCATCCTCACACATACATGTGCACAAACACTGCTTGTGACTTAAAGGCCAAACACTCTCCTTGACGCTATACAGTATATTCATCATGCTGTATTGGAATGAGTGGTAGAAAAATATCCACTGGCATTAAAAATGGCTGACTCAGGGACAAGGGCTATTTAGAGTTAGAGCAGTAGCAACCACAGGAGGAGGTATACTGTAATACTATTTAAGAGCAGTCAGAGACGTAGCATGCAGCATCTATAAGTCTGCTGCTGGATAGCCTTATTCAGCTAATGGCCTGTAGCATCTGTCCATCACAAGCACTATCGATTAATTCAAGCATTCTTCTATCACATTGGGCAAATGATCCAGTATCTTTCTTCATCAATATTCTTGCACAAAGTTCAGCCCGAGTGTTTTCTCACAGCAGTCATATCCAGTTTCTGTGTCCTCATAGCCTACATTTGAGTAAAGGACTTGAGTGGAGTAGGAACTCTACTGGTGCTTTTCCAATGAGACTTACCCCCACACCAATGGGCCACCAGTGTTTTATGTTATTGGAAGCTCTAGTGTTATTGTGTTTCCATCAGGAGTGTGACACTAAAGCAGAATCAACAACATCTGCATCATTCAAGGCTGTTGCTTTGTGAGAAGATGTTAAAGTTCACAGTTAGCCATGGTTATGTAATTGCCAGCTGAAAAGTACCCAGGGCCTTGGCCCCAAGTGAGACCAGGTCCGCCGGAGCCATGGCCCAATGAGACACGGGTGCTGGCCCACGTAGATGGAAACAGAAAAGTCTGAGCCTTTTGGGTAAAACACCGAGGTAAATCCTGTATGGAAATTAGCCATACTGGTAATGTTACAACAATAATAAAAACAGCTTGAAACTATTTAGCTTTTGATGATACAGTAATAAAGTTTTCTACTACAATACAAAGTTCAAAGTCCAATAACCATCCATTGTAGTAACGCTACATATTACTATGAAATATGATGTGAATTAAACGGACCAACTGAAAAATGTACTGTATGCTAAATGCTAAGAGTAACGAGGCGTTCGAGACCTGAAGAATTGAATTAGCTCCAAAAGCTAATGCTTAGGCTTTAGCTGAGCGGGCTACCACACTATTGTGGTGTGTGAGTGGGGGGTCTGGGTGGAATTAGGCCAGTAGCCCTAGTTGTGGCCTAGCAGAGGGCACTTCTCACACAGAAGGACATTCATTCTAACACTGTGCCCTATTCAAACAATGGACGCCATTCACACTCAACTGGGCACAGAGAAAACAGTCACAAAGGCGTATGAAAGCGTAGTCATTTGCATAAAACTTCAGCACAATTCCTCAACGCTAGTGGAAGGAGGATAATTCCTTTCTTACCACCACGTTATGTAGTGCAATAGCTGTAATCATTCTTCACATATGCACTCATAGAGATCCTACTAAATTACTAGTATTCTAATTCCTAATTCTACGTGTGCACTACAGTATTGGCAACTGGGAAGATCCCTTTCAGATGACACCCTGGCCTGGGGTCGCTGTTGTAATAAGATAACTGGTGTGTGTGTGTGTGTGTGTGTTCTTGCTTGCATGCATGTGTGTGTGTCTATGAGACTGCACATGTGAATAGAACAAGGACAAGACACAAAACAACCCATTCATTCATTCTGAGAGCAAAGATATCAAAAGGGAAATTGGACGAATTGTGGCCACAAACTATGGTATGATACAATATTCCAATTGTGGATTGGCTGAGCTGTTTGGGTGACACTGGTACATAATATAATTTACCCACTGGGCACAGACAAGTTCAAAGTCTAGTTTTGATTTACCTTTGGTTGAGTTGTCAACTAATGTGAATTCAACGTGAAATCATGTCATTGGGATTAAGGTTAAAAGTTTGGTGAAAAAAATACAAAATGCCCTTGATGACTTTCTGCAAATCCAATCAGATTTCCCACGTCATCACATAGATTTCTTTGGTTGAAATGACGTGGAAACAACGTTGATTCAACCAGTTTTTGTCCAGTGCATATGCACATTTTCCAAAGAGTTAGCATTTCTTGAATTGCATCATAGCCCTTCCTCGCTTCAATGGAGATTGACAGTAGAGTAAAGACCTAATTGTTGGCTAAATATATGAATGGGAATAGATTCATATGAAAAATGTATGTACTCACTAACTGTAAGTCGCTCTGGATAAGAGCGTCTGCTAAATGACTCAAATGTAAATGTAAATGTAATAAACCTTGAGCTACAGTTGGCCTTGGTGAAGACAGAACAGGGAAAGGTCATTCCACTCTATGGACCAGAGCGTGAATACACTATCTATCTGTCTTCCTGTAACTTCATCATCTCTGCTATGTGACAACATTGTCTGTCTGATTGCTTTCTGGACTAGGCTCGTTGTGGGTTGCCCATTACACTATGGGTTACACACTATGGGTTACACACTATAGGTTACACATGCCACGTGTGACACAGACACAGACATGCTATGGGGTGCTGGGTGACATAGTGAAGGGGGACGTAACACTGAAGAATAGCTCCAATCACAATGCAAGGGAGAGTATGCACTCTGCACAGGCATGTGGAGCAGAGTGCCGAAAGGATGTAGGGCCTGTGCCTTTGTGTCATGTTGTGAGTGTTTGCATATCTGTGTAGATTAAGATAATAATAATAATAATAATAATAATAATAATAATAATAATATGCCATTTAGCAGACGCTTTTATCCAAAGCGACTTACAGTCATGCATGCATACATTTTTGTGTATGGGTGGTCCCGGGGATCGAACCCACTACCCTGGCGTTACAAGCGCCGTGCTCTACCAGCCTTTTGATTGTACATGAAGATACCTTTTTATTGTACAGAGTAATATAATCGTTGCAAAATGTTATGTTTTTGAATGCATGTCTGAATTGAAAACATGATCCTTTTAAACTGTACTTTGTATGAATATTAGACTCTTACCAAGAGAGTTTCGCCAGACACCCCTCTGTTGTTGAATACCGCACACCTGAAACACAACAAAAACATGCACTTAACCCTTTAAAATCCATTCATTGCATTGCATTCCTAGCATTTTTTCTGAGAAATGACACTAGTTTCACCAATTGACATTATGTGTCAAAATAATGCTCTAACTTCCAGGTGCACTGTCTTCCAGGTGCACTGTCTTCCAGGTGCATTGCCATTGCAAATTGTTAAATGAGGTGAAAAGGAGACTGGAGCACGACTTTAATGCTTATACAGCTATTATGATTCAGTTCCTAAATGTAAGAGAATTTGCAGGTACACTGCCACCAAACAATGTTTAAACAAATGCACTTCACAGCAGTGAAAAGGGAATAAGGTGGAATTTGTAAAGAACCAGTGGAGGCTGCTAAGGGGAGGACTACTCATAATAATGTCTGGAACGGAGCAAATGGAATGGCATCAAACGCATACCACGAGCCCGTCCTCCCCAATTAAGGTGCTACCAACCACCTGTGAAAGGGACACATCTGTTGTTGTATTAGTCCTTAAGACCTGAACAGCAGTAGCAGAAATCTCTCTCTAGTCATCTGTTATCTAAGAGACTGGCTGTGAAAACTCAGAAGCAGGGTGGGGGCATGCTGTAGGTTGGGGGGTGGACAGGGCAGGGAATGGTGTGACGCACATTCACTTCCTCCTGCATAGGCAAAGCTGGTTGGGCTAAGCTAAGCTGCAAAGCTTGTACCAGTAAGCTGTAATTCATTAAGCTTGCAGGACAGTGCCGGGGCGAGGGCAGGGGTGGAAAGATGCTGAGTTTGCCTGCTTTCCCCCCTCCCTTCCCTGCTCCGTTTGCCTGCCCCTTCCCACTCTTCTCTGCCCCCCTCCCTCTCTTCTCTGCCCCCTCCCTCTCTTCTCTGCCCCCCTCCCTCTCTTCTCTGCCCCTCTCCCTCTCTTCTCTGCCCCCCTCCCTCTCTTCTCTGCCCCCCTCCTCTCTTCTCTGCCCCCGCTCCCCGTCTCTCTCTGGCCCCCTCCCTCTCTTTCTGCCGCCTGCTCCCTCCTTCTCTGCCCCCCTCCTCTCTTCTCTGCCCCTCCCTCTCTTCTCACTTCTCTGCCCCCCTCCCTCTCTTCTCTGCCCCTCTCCCTCTCTTCTCTGCCCCCCTCCCTCTCTTCTCTTGCCCCCTCCCTCTCTTCTCTGCCCCCCTCCGCTCATCTTCTCTGCCCCTCTCCCTCTCTCTCGCCCTCCTCCCCTCTCTTCCTCTGCCCCCCTCCCTCTCTTCTCTACCCCCCTCCCTCTCTTCTCTGCCCCCCTCCCACTCTTCTTTCCTGCCCACCCTCCCACTCTCGCTGCCCCCCTCCCACTCTTCTCTGCCCCCCTCCCTCTGTTTGAAAGAATGAGCACAGGGAACACAGAACACAGAGGGGCCTTTTGGAGGAGAAAAAAAACTGCCTCCCTCAGCATCTCTTAGTGCAACGTTCAGCTCTTTCTTTCCAAAGCAGGTCTGCACTGCTCTGCCTACTCTTTCGGCAGCTGCTTACCTCAAGTAACCTTGATCCATTCATAGACAGTTTTCGACTCCTAACATATACAATATCTTGGGACTTTCATTGTAAAGAGAATGTATTTGAATTTAGACTATTGAACTGCAATGCACTAAAACAGATGAGCAAGAGTTGACTGTGCACTGTGTTTACAATAGTCCTACCGGCTAAGACATAGGCGTAATCCACAGTGTTGAATGGAACAACCGTCTGCATGAATAAAAACTGTGCACTGTGCAGTACTGTCCAGTACTTGTAACCAGGACCACCCACCTATATCCCAGATCCCTGCTCTGCTGCACCATGTGGAGGATGTAGGACTCTCTGCTGGTACCGGTCAGGCCTGGGAGCAGCAGGACGGTGGGCCGTGTGGCCGCGTTGGGGTGGGAGGCGCTGTCATCGTTGTCGAACCAATCCAGAGAGATCTGCCCTCCATCTTCTGCTCTAATGAGCTCACTGCAAAGAGGAGGAGGTCAGATATAACAGTCAGGGTAGAAAAAGACACCACTAAATTACACACACACACACGGGACAAACTCAGCAAGTAGGCCTAGGTTCTGCACTGCAGCTTTCATACAATATGTTCAGTAAAGCAAAGCTCATTGCACAGAATGCAGAGGAATTTACAAGGTTTTGTAAATACTCAACCTCCAAGGTTCTTACAGATTATGCTTTGTGATTTAAATAAGCAGAACTATATAATCCATATAGGGACCAACAAGACAATAAACATTACTTTTGTTAATAATTCTATACAGTAAAGTATTACATTTCAGATATATCCTGTACATATTGCATTAGATAGGGTATAGTATGTACACTGTATTGCACATGATATTGCTTTCTAACCAAACCTCAAATCAAGACATTGCAAAAATGCATTGTTCTTTACACAAATATCTCCCTTCAGTTGCAGGTACAATGATTACTACAGTGTGGACCCTTCACTAACGTTACCTTTGTCAAAGGGAATGCAGTCTGGCACTAGTGGAGCCTCTCAGGCTTCGTTTACACAGGCAGCCCAATTCAGACCTTTTGCCAATTATTTGTCATATCTGATACCTATGAGATTTTCCCTAATGTGTAAACAAAACAAAAAACACATGGAAGCTGATCTTTTGACTTCAGATTTATACCACATCCATATGTGGATCTCAATCCTGATATAATTTGGATGATCCATTTGTGACCTCAGTCTGGACGCTCAGATCCTATTTTTTTGTTCTGAAGTGATTTTTTTGCACATGACCTGCCCTTTACCACGACAACCACCCCCAAATGTAAAGGAACAGCGACATCAAATTTGCTTTGCATCTGTGTGCTACTGCAGAGGCTACAAATCTGATATGGGTCACATGTAAAACTGAGGATGAACAGTCAGAAAAAAAGACCACGCTACTCAGGAGCAGGGAAGGGCAAGGAAGAGGGGGAGGGAGGGAGGGGGGAGGGGGGGGGGGGGGGGGTAGCTGGCTGCAGCAGCAGTGGATTCTTATGGAGAATCAATTTCCAGTTTCCACAAGCCTACACCGTCAGCTGAGGTCAACAAATCCCACTGTAATCCTTCTCATGCCACCAACCCACTAAACGAGCAACCAGGCGACAACACCAACGTGGCTGGCCCTGCGGCCCATGTACAGTATGTCTGTCTAATTGGAAGTGGAATGAAATTACAGAACCACACCAGCATTAAATATGCACTTAAAGGCCAGACTGGGGCAGCCACTGGGGTCGTGGGCCATGCACCAATCTGGAGCCAGCTGGTCAGGGCATGCACCAATTGGGAGCGAGCACGATCCACTGAACAGGAAGAGGAGGACAACTCTTTCAAATCAAATAAAAGTTTATTGGTCGCATACACAGATTTGCAGATGTTATTGCAGGTGCAGCGAAATGCTTGTTTCTAGATCCAACAGTGCAGGGAACATTGCAGGGAACTATTTTATAGACATGATAATCCCTGGATAGTAGAGGTCTTCTCTTCCTTCAGGACTAATAACCTCCCGCAAATGTCATCGGCTAAACACACACGCACACACATGCACACACTGGCTTTGATCTGAGACAGGTGGTAGGTGAGACCCGCCTGCTGCCATGGTGCATTGTGGGATGTGGGAAACATGTAGCTGCTTTATTGGACAACGGTCAGACAAAGGCTAAGGGAAGTGGAATGCCCTTGGCACTAAATAAAATCAAATACATTTTATTTGTCACATGCTTCGTAAACAACAGATGTAGACTGACAGTGAAATGCTTAATTACGGGTCCTTTTCCAACAATGCAGAGTTAAAGATCAAGATAATAATAATACAAATAAACAATAGAAATAGTGACATGAGGAACTAGGGCATTCTTCTGAGTCATTGGGTTCAGATCAAGACAAGTCAGCATTTACTACACTGACATACTATACGTATATGTCTGACTGACTGCATGAGTAGACTGGCTGTCATGGCCAGGACAGTGATAGACGGCCTATAGCCAGACTAACATCCCATTCTGTGGTTAGTTACCTATAGTGCCACTTTCAGTAATAGTTGTAAAGACAATTGATTTCAGAAGTAGGCCTACTCTCCATCTTGGTTGGCCATCGAAGTCAATGATGACATTGCTCCTTAGTAGACAACCTACACAAATACAGTAACTGATAAAACCGATTGAATGATGACAAAACAATTAGGTACTGTATTTGGACAGTAAATCTGATCGAACCACTAGGCTATTTCCTACTAATTTCAGTTCTGTGGAATATACTGTATACTAACTACCTCCAACCCCTTTTAATTAATTTAAATCCACCTAATGAATGCAGGAGGCCTGGGACACCCTGGCCATTAATCTCTAACAGAATGCACTAAAGAAGCCCAGGTGGCCTGAGCCTATACCATTACACAAAATATTATTTTCACCTTTCTGCTGCTAAGTCTTGGCTAAGAACAAGACGCAGGAAATATGTTTCACGTTGTTAAACCTGAATGAAAGGAATCAAAGAATGGGCACATTTCAGTACTTAGATGATCAAACCAACTGTTTTAAAGCCTTAAAGCCTAATAATAAAGCAATCAAAAGTGGAAGTAAGGTAAAGCCTGTTCCTAATACGGCAGGGAATTTTCCAATACTTTACTGTATGTCGCAATGGCTGCTGTCTACAGTGGAAACTGACCAATTGCGTTTGATGGTGAACCATTTGTTTTTTTACCTTGACCAACCATGTGACCTGACCAGGAAAAACATAGGGCCTTAGTTCCCATACCCTTTAACCAGGCCCAGACTAAGCATTTCGGTCCCGGAGCACCTACCTCCAGGAGGCCCCCCAGCTAACTTCCTGCATTTCAACACATTTTACCATGGGGCAGAGAGAAACATTTGCAGTTTTATAATACTATTCTACACATGTTGTCATGAGAGAAGATGTTGCCGTTTTAAAGCTAATTTCCAGCTATTCTACACATTTTGCCATGAGGCTGAGAGAAAATGTTGCAGTTTTAAAGCTAAATTATTTTGCCATCGCTTATGACGTGTTCATATGCAATTTGGTGTCCGGGGCCCCAGGGCACATGCCCTGCGTGCCCGTTCGCTAATCCGGTCCTGCCTTTAACTAGGGCCCAGAGTTTTTCCTTGTTAGGTCACGTGCCAAGAAAGAACTCAGGGCACTAACTAACCATGGGACATTACCTAGCCTAAGGATAGCAAGTGTGTTGGCTACTGGTGGTAACTGGTGATGAGTGGGTAACGTCTGCTGCAGGAAGTGGATTAACTGGTCACTAAGCCAAGTGACCCTTGAACTTTGTCATACATTGAGCGAACATGGAAGAGCAGGTCTGAGCAGAACCCAACAATTCTTAAAATATTTGAAATACATACTTACAGTATTCTTTTTGGTAAACAGGACATGTATAATGTAGAGGTGTATTTTGAAACCAACACCATGCAACAGGCTTATCTCTTATGAGATATAAACGCCATGAGTTTAAACCCATTTCTCCAGTTTAATTCCAGTTCACCCAGTTTCATTTCACAATCACACCAGGGAAACCCTCCCCCTTCACATGCTGAAGATCTTCTCAGCAATATCTGTTCATTTTTAGATAGGTGTTTCAACAGTGTACAGAGATGCGATGTATTATAGTGTTTATACAATAACACTACTACCATCACATCTGATCCTATAAAAGTCTTACTTTCTGTAGCTGACACCCGGTTTAGCCGTGACGAAGGGCCTAAGCAGCGTCTGGATCCGGCTCTCCCAGCACCAGAAGGTGGGGTAGTAGGTCTCTGACACCACGGGACATTGGTCCCGCAGGAACTGGTAGAATTTCTTACCACCAGAAATCAGTTGGGGCTTCTGCAATACAAGACATGAACAGTGTAAGTCAGTGATGTGGCTTTCCAATTATGACATTAGCCTAATAGCTTGTTTAGAGAAAGAAATATGGACCATGAGGGTTGAAAGGATAGATCACATACTTTTCAAGACTCAAATATTTTTTCATTCATGATTTAAACTATTTTAGGTGAAACTATTTCAAACATCATCTGGTTTTTATCCCATCTGTGGCAAGGGAAAGATAAATGTTTGTGCTTATCCCAATTTAAAGGACAAAATGTATACTACTGATGACAATCTCTTGAAAACAGTTCTTATACTTCATCATCATTCACCATCTACACAACCCCTCTCTTACAGTACCCATATAGTGCAGCCTCTTCACTGAAATCATGTGATATCGAATTCTCTGTCTTGCACTTTCATAAATGACATGTCAACATAAGTCATATTTCATTGTTCCATATGGTTTATTTGCTACTGGTGCAACCTTGGTGTATAACATTCAAAATGAAGGATCTCCACAACTATAGTGTAATTGTAATGCACTATCAAGACTGGAATCTCAAGTTTATATTGCTCTACTTTTAGTCTAGAGGACTGTGTAAAGTGTCAGAAAATATGAAATGTTATGGTGAGTTATAGAGACATTCTGCAGTCACTAGTGATGGAAAGGAAGGAGATTGGTAATGAGAACACAATGACAGTAGGCTGTGTTGTAACTGGGATTATATGAGGTCACCACAATATCAAATCAAACACATCTGTCCTGTCAGAGCATAGAGACATTTAATCTCTGAATTTAGGTATAATGAAGAATAGAATGCATGACCCCTACTAATATGTATTTATATAATCTAACATTAGCCCAATGTTATGTAGCCTAGGCCTATGTGTTTAATTATTCGGGAAAACGAATATCGGTAAAAACATTCATTTGTGAATATGCAGTAGGCTACACTGCATAAAGATGTTTGACAGCTTGTATAACAATAGTCTACACCCAGTCTACATTACTGCCTTTTCAGGTTTACAATAAGGACTCACGATAAAATATATGCAGCCTAAACGGCAATTTAACATTTGTATATCTGTAGGCCTTGTACAAATCTTGAAATTTCACATTTAGTCTAAAGAAAATACGACACCATTTTATTGAAAGATGTCATATCACATGGGCAGTATCAGCCTCCTCAGCAAACCATCTAGCTGCTGAGCCGGTTTGATGCGCAAAAAGCGCCAGCGATATCCTCCATCATAATAACCGTTATGCCACCTTTTAATAAGACAATTGTCAGTTACAATGTATCCATTTCTATTAAATAAGGATTCTTCTAAGCAGCCTCTGTGACCCCTACCTTCGCGACAGAGATCAAGTAGTAGTAGGCATAAGCTGCGCTGAAGCCGAGTACCAGTGACAGTACTCCAGATCCAAAAAGCCCAACTTTCACTTGATTTTCCAGATAAAGTGACAGGTCCCTTGTCAAAACATTAAAATTGAAGTCCAGTGAGATCATTGCCCTGTTATGTCGCGCTCTTCAGGTATAGCGGCCAGGATCGAATGAAAACCTCTGCTGCTCTGGAATGGATGCATGCACTAATGCTCAGTGATGTGCAGAGAAGGGGAGAGTCAATGAAAGGGGAGCGATATATATAGAGGCAGACGATGGCGCTCTTTGACCGTCCTGCGCTGAGATGTAACATGCGCGATTGTAGGCTTTTATAACACTTGCAGTGGATGCAGCCTAAATTGCATTGGGGACAGTCAAGGCTGTTGGGACTGCTTTATGTAGGCCCTAACAGTTTGTGGGCACCGTTTGTCACTGTTATAGTGCAATTCATGTATTGTTTAGTGTTGCTTAGTGGCTTTGCTGGCATACATTAAAAAAAAAATTGACTTTGCCCCAACAAGATTTACATGCTAAAATCGCCACTGGGTATTATACATTTTGTATGATGTACTGTTTTATCTTTTGTTTTATGTGTAATGTAAGTGCCTTAATGTGTTTGGACCCCAGGAAGAGTAGCTGCTGCCTTGGCAGGAAGTAATGGGGATCCTTAATAAACCCCAGGAAGAGTAGCTGCTGCCTTGGCAGGAAGTAATGGGGATCCTTAATAAACCCCAGGAAGAGTAGCTGCTACTTGGCAGGAAGTAATGGGGATCCTTAATAAACCCCAGGAAGAGTAGCTGCTGCCTTGGCAGGAAGTAATGGGGATCCTTAATAAATACAAATAATGGTATGTCACTTGGACGATTCTTGGGAATCCATTAACATTTAGGAGATCCTTAAGTCCAGTAAATCTTTACAGTCAATGAATTAGATCTAATCAGATCTAATGCACATAGCCTGCGTAATGCACCTTTACATCCAGTCTAAATCCCTGACCTTATGACAATCATTCAGATCAGAGATATCTTCAAGAGAGAAAGAAAGGAAGGATACTTTACATAACGGCCACAGGCCGCTCAATGAAAACCAGTGACTATAGGTTGTTTTCTTAAATAGGTTGTGAATACATTATTCCAGGGAAGCAAATATATTCAAATGTATCATAGGCTACAGGTCACTGGAATAGAATAATACAATACAATACAATACAATAGAAAATATGCTACTCTAACCACAAAAAACTACCAAACAACAGGCCTATGGTCAATGTTTTATCACAGACTATGTGTTTCTGCACACATACAGTGCCATGCAAAAGTATTCATCCCCCTTGGCGTTTTTCCTATTTTGTTGCATTACAACCTGACATTTAAATGGATTTTTATTTGGATTTCATGTAATGGATAAAATAGTCCAAATTGGTGAGGTGAAATGAAAAAAAGAACTTGTTTCAAAAAAAGATAAATAACGGAAGAGTGGTGTGTGCATATGTATTCACCCCCTTTGCTATGAAGCCCCTAAAAGCAATGGGTTTTATTCTGGCCACTCTTCAGTAAAGCCCAGCTCTGTGGAGTGTATGGCTTAAAGTGGTCCTATGAACAGATACACCAATCTCCGCTGTGGAGCTTTGCAGCTCCTTCAGGGTTATCTTTGGTCTCTTTGTTGCCTCTCTGATTAATGCCCTCCTTGCCTGGTCCGTGAGTTTTGGGGGGCGGCCCTCTCTTGGCAGGTTTGTTGTGGTGCCATATTCAATTTTTTTATAATGGATTTAATGGTGCTACGTGGGATGTTCAAAGTTTCGGATATTTTTTATAATTTTTTTGTTCCAACCCTGATCTTGTACCTTCCCCCACATCTTTGTTCCCTGACCATGGTTGGAGAGCTCCTTGGTCTTCATGGTTGGCCGCTTTGCTTGGTTGGTGCCCTTGGCTAGTGGTGTTTGCAGACTCTGGGGCTTTTCTTTCTGAACAGGTTGTATATATACTGAGATTCATGTGGACAGGCTTCAAGTGACACTTAGATTGCACTCCGTAGGACTTTGATTTAACTAATTATGTGGACTTCTGAAGGTTAATTGATTGCACCATATCTCCCGAGTGGGCGCAGTGGTCGAAGGCACTTGCATCCAGTGCTAGGCTGTGCCACTAGAGATCCTGGTTTCGAATCCAGGCTCTGGGTCGTAGCCGGCCGGGACCGGGAGACCCATTGGGGGGGGCGCACAATTGGCCTCAGCGTCGTCCATGGGTAGGGGGGGGAAATGGTCCGGCAGGGGATGTAGCTTCAAGTTTGGTAGAGCATGGCGTTTGCAAACGCCATGGGTTTGGGGTTCGATTAAAAAACTGTAAAGTCGCTCTGGATAAGAGCGTCTGCTACAATGACTATAATGGTAAAAAATGTATGTAAATTCTTTTAGGGACTTCCTAGCAAAGGGGGGTGAACTACATATGCACACATCACTTTTCCGTTAGTTTATTTTTTTGATTCTTTGAAACAATGTTATTTTTTTCATGTTCACTTCACCAATTGGCGGACTATTTTGTGGAATGTCCATTACATGAAATCCAAATAAAAATCCATTTAAATTACAGGTTGTAATGCAACAAAATAGGAAATACGCCAAGAGGGATGAATACTTTTGCAAGGCACTGTATACATTACCAGTCAAACGTTTTAGAACCCCTACTCATTCAAGGGTTTTTCTTTATTTTCACTAGTTACTACATTGTAGAATAATAGTGAAGACATCAAAACTATGAAATAACACATATGGAATCATGTAGTAACCAATAAAGTGTTAAACAAATCAAAATATATTTTATATTTGAGATTCTTCAAATAGCCACCCTTTGCCTTGATGACAGCTTTGCACACTCTTGGCATTCTCTCAACCAGCTTCATGACGTAGTCACCTGGAATGCATTTCAATTAACAGGTGTGCCTTCTTAAAAGTTAATTTGTGGAATTTCTTTCCTTCTTAATGCGTTTGAATCAATCAGTTGTGCTGTGACAAGATAGGGGTGGTATACAGAAGATAGGCCTATTTGGTAAAAGACCAAGTCCATATTATGGTAAGAACAGCTGAAATAAGCAAAGAGCAACAACAGTCCATCATTACTTTAGAAAATAACGTTTCTTCAACTGCAGTCGCAAAAACCATCAAGCGCTATGATGAAACTGGCTCTCATGAGGACCCCCACAGGAAAGGAAGTTACCTCTGCTGCAGAGGATAAGTTCATTAGAGTTAACTGCACCTCAGATTGCAGCCCAAATAAATGCTTCACAGATTTCAAGTAACAAACATATCTCAACATCAACTGTTTAGAGGAGACTGCGTTAATCAGGCCTTCATGGTCGAATTGCTGCAAAGAAACCACTACTAAAGGCCACCAATAAGAAGAAGAGACTTGCTTGGGCCAAGAAACACAAGCAATGGACGTTAGACCGGTGGAAATCTGTCCTTTGGTCTGATGAGTCCAAATTTGAGATTTTTGGTTCCAACCGCCGTGTCTTTGTGAGACGCGGTGTGTGTGGGTGAACTGATGATCTCTGCATGTGTATTTCCCACCGTAAAGCATGGAGGAGGAGGTGTTATGGTGTGGCGGTGCTTTGCTGGTGACACTGTCTGTGATTTATTTAGAATTCAAGGCACACTTAACCAGCATGGCTACCACAGCATTCTGCAGCGATACTCCATCCCATCTGGTTTGGGCTTAGTGGGATTATCATTTGTTTTTCAACAGGACAATGACCCAACACACCTCAAGACTGTGTAAGGGCTATTCGACCAAGAAGGAGAGTGATGGAGTGCTGCATCAGATGACCTGGCCTCCACAATCCCCCGATCTCAACCAAATTTAGATGGCTTGGGATTAATCGAACCGCAGAGTGAAGGAAAAGGAGCCAACAAGTACTCAGCATATGTGGGAACTCCTTCAAGACTGTTGGAAAAGTATTCCAGGTGAAGCTGGTTGAGAGAATGCCAATAGTGTGCAAAGCTGTCATAAAGGCAAAGGGTGGCTGTTTGAAGAATCTCAAATATACAATATATTTTGATTTGTTTAACACTTTTTTGGTTACTACATGATTCCATATGTGTTATTTCATAGTTTTGATGCCTTCCACAAGCTTCCCACAATAAGTTGGGTGAATTTTGGCCCATTCTTCCTGACAGGTCTGGTGTAACTGAGTCAGGTTTGTAGGCCTCCTGTCATGAACCCTGCGTCCTGAGTCTGTTCCTGCCTGTGTTGCCGTTTTTTCTGCTCTGAATCTCCTGTTTCCTGAGGGTTCCTGAACGCACCCTGTCCGGTTGCCGGGCGATGTTGCTAGGCGGGTGATTTCTCGATTACCCGCACCTGCTTCTCATCAGCTTCGGCACACCTGGTCCTGATCATCACCCCTTCATAAGCCCTGACCTCCATTCCCTGCCGTATCGTTAGCCATGAACAGTATGTTTGTCAGCGTATCAGCCTCTGAGTTACTAGCGTTAGTTTTGTTGTTTTGCACCTTGTTGGCTTGCCGTGTACTTACCTCCGTTTTTTTCTGTCTACAGTCATTCTCCCGGAACCTTCACCCAACCCCTGCCTGGTTGTCGGCGGCTGCCGAGCCATCATTGGATCTGCCACTTCACCTCCACCAACTCATCCCCGCCGCCCGCTCCATCTCCTGGATTATTCTGCATCTTTTTGAATCTGTTAATAAATACTCACCTTAGTTCAACTCACCTTGTCCTGGTCTGCTTCTGGGTTCTGGCTTAGAAAACCGTGACACCTCCTTGCTCGCACACGCTTTTCAGTTCTGCCCACACATTTTCTATAGGATTGAGGTCAGGGCTTTGTGATGGCCACTCCAATACCTTGACTTTGTTGTCCTTAAGCCATTTTGTCACAACTTTGGAAGTATGCTTGGGGTCATTGTCCATTTGGAAGACCAATTTGCGACCAAGCTTTAACTTCCTGACTGATGTCTTGAGATGTTGCTTCAATATATCCACATAATATTCCTTCCTCATGATGCCATTTATTTTGTGAAGTGCAACAGCACCCCCACAGCATGATGCTGCCACCCCCGTGCTTCATGGTTGGGATGGTGTTCTTCGGCTTCCAAGCCCCCCTTTTTCCTCCAAACATAACGATGGTCATTATGGCCAAACAGTTCTATTTTTGTTTCATCAGACCAGAGGATATTTCTCCAAAAAGTATGATCTTTGTCCCCATATGCAGTTG